TTATAGTCGCTCTGAAAAACGTTTCGATTTTAATTGTTTTTTGTAATTATTAACTTTTCATTTCTACATAGTCGTGAACAGTTTGCATTGATATAACTATATGGATTTGGAAGTAAGGTTTCGGTGGCGGTTTGTGAAGTTTATTATCCCTTTTCTTGTGCATTTGTGCTTCGCTGAAAATATTGCTGTGTGGAAAGCAGGAATATTCATTATTTCGGCAGTATTGTTTCTGAGAGGTCTGTGTTAGTGCGGTGTCTATTGTCAGTGTCACCTATACGTGTTACAATGTCAACAGTACAGTTAGACTCAAAAGTTATGGAGCTGCTTAATTCTATTAAAGCAGATACCGAACAGACAAAATTGGAAATCAGCGAGCTTCACAAGTGCACCTCTCAGTTGCAGTTGGATATGGTCTCATTGAAAAAGGATAATGAGAAGTTAAAACCTAAGATGCTGGATCTGGAGGAGAAAAACAAGATTCTTCAAGACGCGGTTTCTAATCTAAAAATGGAAGTCGCAGTGCTAAGAAAGAACTCTCGTGCAAATAATTTAATTTTGCATAACACGCCTGATACCGTAAAGGAAAACGAAGATCTCTATTCATACGTTTTGGAAATTTTGAGAAATGCTGGGTTGGCCTTAACCGAGGATCACCTTTTCGATGTTTTTCGTTTGGGAAGGGTTCAGGGCAAGAGACCGATTTTAATCAAGCTGGACTCGTTTAAAAGAAAACAGTTGATTTTGAAAAAAAAGAGATGTTTTATCAAAGTTAAATGTGGGGGTAAGTTTGGACCTGTCACCGGAAGAAAGGAAAGAGAGGAAGCAACTCTTCGAAGCCAAGGACAAACTAACATCGTTGGGAGTAGTTGCAACTTTAAGAAGTAATCGCCTGTATCTGGATAACAAACCTCTTTCCCTTCAGGATATTGAAACTTTACTTGAGATGTCGGATAAGGATCAATCTGATGGTGGTGAAAAGAGTGAAACAGCAACTCCTAGGACCCTAAAAAGAAAATTAAATTTTCAAGCCCTCTATGGACAAGTAGCAGCAAAGTCAGCAAAAGTGACAAAATAGCAGTCACAGACTGGCGGTCAGTGCAGAGTGTTCTTCTGGAATGTGAATGGGTTTGGAAATTTCTCGGACCTGTCAGATTCTGTGCGTAGCGGGGACATTGTCTGCTTGTGCGAAACATGGCTGACGTCACCATCGTTGAATAGGCCTGGCTGGTTGAGATCTCACACTCCCATCGTAAGTACAGCAACTGGAGAAAGAGGGGGCCGTTCCTCGGGGGGGGTTGGTGATTTTTATAAATGAGGAGATTTTAAAATTTTTAATTTTGAGTGTAAATCGTGCATGGATTTTTATAAAATGTACTCAATGTAATTTTAATTTTATTGTTGGTGTAGTATATTTCCCGTACCCGATTGATTGTAATGAGATGATTCAACTTTTAAATGATTTACTTAATAAGATTACGGTGGAGTATCCAAATGTACCTTTAATTATAGGGGGTGATTTCAACGCAAGAATTGGGAATTTGAATCAATTGTATGAGTTTTCTCTTCCTTTCAATTGTTCTGTGTCATACAGTAAAGGAGAGTTGGACGAGAATGGAAGAGATGGGGTAAGTGAGAATAAGTTAAGGTGGAAAAAGGAGTGTAGGGATGAGTATGAGCGTTTTATGTCTGATGCGTCAATTTTGGAGAATGGTAGCGATAATATTGATGTTATTAATAAAAACATATTGACCTCTATTTGGGAGGTTGCAAGTAAATTGAGTATGGTCTCTAAGTCTTATAGTAAGCCCTCTGGAAAAAAACCTTGGGTAGATGGGGAGTGCACCAATTTGCGTCACGAAGTAAAAGAGTCTCTTCTAAAATGTAAGGCTTCAGGGTTTAAGGAGGAAGAGAATAAACACTATAAGAGTCTCAAAAAATTGCTTAGAGAGACATTAGTTTGTAAAAAGAAAAAGTATGAGGAATTCTTAATTTATTCTCTTTCTAATAGTAATAATGCAAATACTTTTTGGGCAGCCGTAAATAAATTTAGAGGTCGCAGTAGCGCAAAGAACACAATATCGCTTCAGAAATGGCAGGAACATGCTAATAATATTTTTCCACCAAGAAATGTTTGTATTTTAGAAATGGTAAATACTTATCACCCGATGCTGGATCCTGCCATTTCGCTGAAGGAGTTGAAGTGTAGCTTAATTAAATGTAAAAATGGCAAATCTCCAGGAGCAGATGGCGTTCCAAATGAATTTTTTAAAGAGCTGCCCGAGTGCTGGATCGAGCAAATGTTGTCACTATTTAATGGTATTTGGGAGAGGGAGAAAGTACCTAGTAGTTGGGCAGAAAATCTAATGGTTATGCTTTATAAAAAAGGAGATAGGGATAATCCTTGCAATTATAGAGAAATTACCCTGCTTAATAGCATTACCAAAATCTTTACCCGTATATTGTCTGAGAGATTAACGAAGTGGGCTGAGGAGGGTAAACTTTTGCCGGAAAATCAAGCGGGTTTTAGAGCTAAACGTGGGTGCATTGATCAAATTTTCACCCTGTCTTCTCTGATTCAGATCCAATTTTCTAAATTTAGAGGGAAGGTTTTTGCATTTTTTATAGATTTTAAAAAAGCATTCCCGTCAATAGATCATTCGTTGTTGTGGGCTAAGCTTAAAAAGGCGGGAGTGAGTTCAAAAATTATCCGCATAATTAAGAGCCTGTATGATTCGGCTAGAATGTCAATTAAGACTCAATTTGGTCTGACTTCGCCGGTAGAAGTTTCAGAGGGTGTGATGCAAGGGGAGACTCTTAGCCCTTTGCTATTTACTACTTTCATTAATGATTTGGAAACCTTTCTACGAGACCATGGCGTTACTGGAATCGCGGTAAATCATTTGATTGATATTATTTTTTTGGCTTACGCAGACGATATCGTGCTACTGGCCGACTCTCGGGTGGCTCTTCAGCGGGTAATAAATGTAGTCAGCAGGTACTGCTCAGACAATAAATTAATAATCAATAAGGAAAAATCAAAAGTTGTTGTTTTTCACAAAGGTCGAGTCAAAAATTATGACTTCTCTTTGGCAGGATCAAAACTAGAAGTTCTAAATGAATTTAAATATTTGGGCGTTACGTTTAAATCATCGGGCGTTTTTTGTAGAGAATTGGAATCGAGAATGAGTATGTCTAGAATGGCGTCCGGAGCTGTCATCCGTTTAGTTAGCGCGTCAAAGGTGCGCTCGTGGAAGTCGATTAAAGTTTTACTTAATAGTCTTGCCCTTAGTATCGTGTTCTATGCAGTTGAGGTTTGGGGGCTGCGTTATGTTGAAGATATAGAAAGGATCCAGACATTGTTTATAAAGAGAGTCTTAGATGTTCCAATGTATACGCCTAATTATGCTGTCCGCCTGGAGACTGACTGCGTACAGCTTGCGTTTGACATTTGTAAAAGAGCTTTGTCATGGTTTGAGAAAGTCTTGCATATGGAAGATGGAAGATTTCCAAAGATTTGTCTATTAAAATTAAATGACTTAGCGGCTATACATCCGAACGAGAGCAAATACAATTGGCTTTTGCAAGTAAAAGCATTCTTTATAGATAGTAATTCGCAAGATTTGTGGCCTGGTATGCAGCCACTGCGGCTAATTGAAAATAAAAAGAAGGTGTTGTGCAATTATTTTGGGTACTTGAAACGGAAAGATGTTTTAAGAGTGCAGAGTTCGCAAAGCCTTGAAATCTTTCCTTATTTATCAGGAAGTCCAAGAGAAAGTACATATTTGTCCTTAAATCTGCCAAGGTATATACCTAAGGTAATTGCGCAACTACGAATGATGGGTTCAAAACGCGGTTGTATTCGATCGGGGGGTTTTTCGCTTATCTACGATCCACTTAAGTCTTGCTGTGTGTGTAATATGGGAGAATGTGAATCTTTATTCCACATTCTGATTTCCTGCCCAATGTACAATGATTTGAGATCTTCCATCTTTCATTTGCCTAGGGAGGTTATTAGTAAGCCTCAGTACTGGGTGTATCTTCTAGAATCGGACTCGCCGATTGAATTAAAAAAGGTGGCCAACTTTATAGTAGCCGTGTTGAGATTGCGCACGTATATTATCGAGACTTGAAATTGTTGTTGATGCATTTGTTTTTATTTTGATTATGTGTGTATTTTGTTGCTGTATGTATGTATGTATGCGTACAGGTTATAATTGCGGCAAATGCAGCATATTGAATTCTTGATTTTAGTTTTCTTTTTGGTATTGTATTAATAAATTAATCTTAGTATATTGAGTTGATGTTCCTTCTGAGCAACACGTGTTATAAGGCATTATGTATGTATATATTTGTAATGGTTTTTACCTATGAACAAATAAATGAATTTGAATTATATATATATATATATATATATACATATATTTCTATAGAATTACAAATTTGGTGTAGTTAATATAATTTTTAATATAATATAATTCAGAATAATTTATAAAAAATACATATATTGTAATTATTGACAACAAATTGCTTTCTTATTTCTTTTATACTCGGGGAGAGGTACGCACGTTGAGACGGGTTCTGTTTATAGTTATAATTTTTAACAAACAAAATTAAGCGAAAAATTCGAAATGCTTTCTTAAAAGTATTGTCCAGGGCTACAACATTGCCAAAAAAAGTTTATTTTTTTGGACAAAAATGAAAAATTTATAGCTGATTTTTTCAACATGTTATTTTTGACCCAAAAAAAAGTGGTACGCACATTGAGACACCCATAGTAATTTATTTTAAATTGAAACAAGATGAATTTAATAATTACGTCAGATTCTAATTGTTTGTTGTTTATTTACTTATTTTGATGGTCTTAGCCCAAAGATAAAAATTAAAACATTAAAAATTATCTTAAAGAAGATAATCAAAAAATAAAGAGCCTCGGCAAGCCCCATGCAAAAAATGCCCCTTTTTCGTACCTCGAATTTTGAAACTTTTTTTATGCCAAATGGTTACATATGATGACCCAATAATCCCTGCAAAATTTCAAGATGAGCATGTGCCCCCTTTCCGAAATACAGGGGGTCAAAGGGGGCCATGTCCAAAAATAGAATATGCAATATAATCGAATAATAATGTTAAAAAAAATCAGACCAAATGGTTCCCTTAAGATTTTCGTCTGCTGATTACGAATTTAAAGTCCGTTTTTTAAAATTCAAAATGGCGGACCCAATATGGCGGACGACATTTTTAAAAATCGATCCAATTTACTTAAAAATCGTTACTCGGGGGTTTTTGGGGTCGCTGATTACGAATATGACGTCCGTTTTCAAAAATTCGAAATGGCGGATCCAATATGGCGGACGGCATTTTTGAAAATCGATCCAATTGACTTGAAACTTGTTACTCGGGGGTTTTTGGGGTCGCTGATTACGATTCTAAAGGTGGACTAACATTGAAAAAGCACTAACCATTTTTTATTAGTAAATATATTTTTTTGAGCTTACACAGAAAACAAAAAGCAATCTAGAAACATTTATATCTTTAGCACATCATTTAAAAACATCTTTTTTGAATGTGAGCTTGAGAATGTGATAATAGAGTTCTAATTTTAGTTTAAAAGTATCAAATTATTGAAAGATTTTAACTTACATTCGAACACTCCGGAAACAAAAGACGATCTGAAAATTATAATGTTATATACTCCTACTCTAATCTACATTTAATGTGTGTTGTGTTTTGCGAATGTGATTTAGTAAAATTAATTGTAGTTTTAAAAATCTGAAATTATTAAAAGATTTCAGCCTTCATTCAAAAACCCTAAAAAACAAAAGACGATCAATAGATCATCATTTTATTTATTTCCATTGCATTCTACATCTACTGTGTATTTTATCTTTGCGAATGTAATTCTAATCCCTTATCTTTGTTGATCGGGTTGTCGATTACATCTTGCCTTCATTGGTTGGATAACTTCATCTTACCTTTGTTGGTTGGATTATTATCTCTTATCTTTGCTGATCGGGTTGTTGATTACATCTTGCCTTCATTGGTTGGATTCTAATCCCTTATCTTTGTTGATTGGAATATTACATCTTACTTTAGATGGTTTCAAAATTATTACATCTGGCCTTTGCAAGCTGAATTTAGCCTTAAACCTTGCCTTTATTCGTTATATTAGATCCGACATTTTGAATTTTTAAAAATGGACATCACATTCGTAATCAGCGACCCCAAAAACCCCCGAGTAACAAGTTTCAAATCAATTGGATCGATTTTCAAAAATGTCGTCCGCCATATTGGATCCGCTATTTTGAATTTTTAAAAACGGACATCATATTCGTAATCAGAGACCCCAAAAACCCCCGAGTAACAAGTTTCAAGTAAATTGGATCGATTTTCAAAAATGTCGTCCGCCATATTGGATCCGCTATTTTGAATTTTTAAAAACGGACATCATATTCGTAATCAGAGACCCCAAAAACTCCCGAGTAACAAGTTTCAAGTCAATTGGATCGATTTTCAAAAATGTCGTCCGCCATATTGGATCCGCCATTTCGAATTTTTGAAAACGGACGTCATATTCGTAATCAGCGACCCCAAAAACACCCGAGTAACGATTTTTAAGTAAATTGGATCGATTTTTAAAAATGTCGTCCGCCATATTGGGTCCGCCATTTTGAATTTTTAAAAACGGACTTTAGATTCGTAATCAGCAGACGAAAATCTTAAGGGAACCATTTGGTCTGATTTTTTTAACATTATTATTCGATTATATTGCATATTCTATTTTTGGACATGGCCCCCTTTGACCCCCTGTATTTCGGAAAGGGGGCACATGCTCATCTTGAAATTTTGCAGGGATTATTGGGTCATCATATGTAACCATTTGGCATAAAAAAAGTTTCAAAATTCGAGGTACGAAAAAGGGGCTTTTTTGCCGAGGCTCTTTTATTTTGCACAAAAATAATTAATCGAAATTTTTATATTCGCAATTTTTACAGGTGAAGAACATGTAAAACGCTTAAAAATTGTGGATTCAGAATCAATTTTAATGACAGTACTATTTTCACACTGAGAGCGTTTTAACCTGCGTACCACAGTGTGTCTCAACGTGCAGACCTTGCCGTTATTTTTTAAAGCTTTGAAATTATTTGTAGATGTTAACATATGTCTAAATTTTCTTTGGAACATTAAAGTAGAACCAAAATTGATATGTACATGTTATCCGCACTTTTTTCTGCCACTAAAAAATACAGTAAATACACTAAACAAAAATTCTGAAAAACACTTTTTTTAACTAAATAATTGGTTTGCTCTAGTTCTACCGAGAAAACAGGAGTTATTGTGCTTCTATTGAGTAAAAAGTTTGGTATTATTGATATGACAAAATGCCAATAAACTTTTTGGTATTATCAGTTACACAGGTTATAATATCTTAGTGTCTCAACGTGCAAACCGTCTCAACGTGCGTACCTCTGCCCTACTATTAGCAGCATTTTTTACTCTATCTTTAAATCTTCTTCAGTTTTAATATTCTTCTGGTGACTATTTAAACAATATTATTATGTATAAAAGTCTCATAAATGTTTTAATGGTGTAATGTAATCGAGGGGGTATTTACTTGTGTATTAGCGTGTACACTCCTCCCGTAATAGTCACGTAATAGAGTGTAATAGAGCTTTATTAGGTCAGTGTAGTACCACATAATATACAGGTAATATTCTGTAATAATCAGTAATACCCTGTAATAGTTCTGGAATATCCTATAATACTAGATAATACGCGTAATAGCAGGAAAATTTAGTGTATTAGAGTGTACACCATTTTAACCAGTAATTACTCCCTCGAATGTAATTATTCGTTAATTGTTTGACATTATTGTTATTCGTAATAGCAAATTTTTTTGATAAATTAATTTGACAAAGAATTCTGTAAAATCTATTTACACTCGAATCTTGTTATAACGAATCTCGTTACAACGTTCTCTCGTTACAACGAACATTAAAACTCTCGATACAACGACAAAAAAAACACGAACGAATTTAAGAATTTAATTTAACCAAAATTTTGGTTAACTCAAAAAAAACGACTAAGTTAATCAACCCTTAACTTTATTTAACCTAAAGAATCTAGTGATGTGATTATTATTAAAAATTCTTACTTTTTCTTTAAACTGATTCCATAATGCAGAAACTTTTAATATAAATAAACATACTTTACGAAATTTTGTACACGTATTTGACGTTTTGTTCTGTTAATCACAGATAAATTCATGTGTTTGAATATAACGTGAAGTAGGATTCCTCCTTCCGTCGTAATATCGAGATTTTGAAGTCCCGAGATCGTCGTTATAACGAGAATCGAGTGTATATTTAAATGAAAAGTTATAGAATATAAATGTGTTCTAAAAATTTAGAAATTTCATTAATTAAGCTTAAATTAATTGCTTTAATCTTTCATTTAAAAATTAATTTTTAAGCCTTTCCTTATACTTGTAACTTTGAAAATTTACATTCTTCAATTAACATTATTAAATATAATGTATATTATACATAATATAATTATACTATTGTTGCAAATACAGTATCTTTTTTCAAGTTACAAAGCACATTTTCATAGTTCCTTCGTTATATAAGTAAATTCTAAACTTACTTTCATGAGCCTCCGTGGCGCAGTTGGTAGAGCGTTTGATTTCTAATCCACTCCTAGCTGCGTCTTGCGTTCGAGACCTCGTGATTGTAAATATTTAAATAAATACCAAAACAAATTTTCTTCGACATGTATAAACATTTCAAGTATGTATGACATGCGAGAACAGCGTGGAATATTTTTTAATTTTAATTTAAATATTTTTTTAATTACCGATATGAGTAACATATATTTGTAACTGTTCTAGAACTGTGACAAGTATCTTTGTCACCATGTTACAGATCTGTTACATAACTGTGACATCCCCCTGACTATGACATTTTGCGTACCCAGTAAGTCTCCTGTGAGTCACCAGTTATAGAACATGTTTTTCTATTATTTGTCACAGTTCTGTAACAGATCTGTAATAGTGTTTGCTGTGTAGTGCTGTCCACGAGACGAGATGATACCATCATGACTGGGCAGGCGTATACTCGGAGACTGGCATAAAGGTTAAAGTTTATTAACTTACACAGAATCTGATTTCTGCTTTTGACAAATTTTATTTTCATATTCTTGGCATATTGTTAGATTTAAGGATTATTATCTGAACTAGAATGTGAGAATAATTATTAATAAATAAACTATTTCTTTTCTTTTTTTATTTTGTTTAGTTTTTTTCGATTTATATATTATAATTACTTCCTCATAGAGGAAGTATTGTAATACCAAAATTTTTCGAGTTCGATTTTTTGACATATATCTTTATGTTATTTGACCTCAGGATGTCATTACGTGTGTGTATGTGTGTGCAAACATCACATTTTCATAAATATCTCGAAATCATAAAGAGCTTTTTTGGGGTGAATTTTTTTTAAAAAAAGTAGATCTCACCTGCGGACATAAAATGAGAGTACTTTGTGATAGATAAATAAAGTTTAACTAAATTTTTTTTGAATTTTTAATTTCCAAAAAAACGTTTTTTGCCCATAACTTTAAAAAAAGTTAGGACACCTATAAATGTTTTTACATAATTTTGTAGAGTTTTTTTAGACACGTCTTTTGAGCCCTAATTGAACATTTTTCGTCCATATTAAAGCTCGCAATCCCTCAGAGCGAGATCCCGCAATCCCGCAGGATCCCACACTATTTATTGAATCCAACATACTTATAAAAAAGGAGCGGAATCCCGCGGGATTTCTAACAATCAGGGAAAATTCAGGGAATGTCCAATATGTATTTTATACACTGAAAAAAAAGTGCTGTTGAATCAAATATCTCCATGCTATTGAATTCCCCGTCATTGATTCAATGACACATTTATTAATCGAAAAGTATATTGCTTAAAATGAAAAAATGAAACTGTTTAAATTAAAAGTACGGTACTGTAGAATTAATGATATTG